CGCGGAGCGGCTGGGCCCGTGAGCCATGGCCGCTGAGCCTGCGCGTCTGGAGCCTGTGCTCCGCAATGGGAGAGGCCACAACAGTGAGAGGCCCGCGTGCCGCAAAAAACAAAAAAACAAAAAAACTTAGTTTTATGAAAAACTGACAGTCTTCCCTCTAAGTTCACCCCAGACTGGTGAAAAGTTCATCCACAGGTAAACGTTTGGGAACCACTGCTCTGACCAACTGAGCCTTAGTTGAGGATAAGAATTTTAAATGGACATAAGACTATGATGGTATGTGGTGTGTGAAGAACATGGGCTTTGTCATACGGACGTGGAGGAGAGCATGTCACATGGGCATCTTCCAGAAGTGCTGCTGGCAGTATCGATTGGTGGAGCAGCGTTTGTCTGTGGCAGGGGTGCTGCTGGCATTGTGTGGGGCAGAGTTCCTAGTTGCCTGGGTAGCCCTGCACCTAACAGGGCATTTACCCCCCGGCCCAGCCTTCACTGTGACGTCCAGACCTCCCTCACTCACTGCACACGCAACACCCTGATTGGGAACCAGGCAGCTTGTAAAACACCTCTCCAACTCAGTGTTTCACCAGGATGTGTGTGTGTGTGTGTGCACGGTGTGTGTGTGTGTGTGTGTGTGTGTGGTCCTTCTTTCCTTCAGTCATTACACGTGCAAAAAAGCAACGTGGATCTGATGAGAACAAAGCTTCGGCGCTTAGAAGAGGAAAACAGCAGAAAGGACCGGCAGATAGAGCAGCTTTTGGATCCGTCCCGAGTAAGTTCCTGGCCCTGCACGGCGGTGCCCCGAGGCAGGCGTGGGGCGTCACCGGCTCCTCTCAGCAGGCCAATGCGGGGCGGGTCACGGGGCGGGGGGGGGGGGGGGGGGGGGGGGGGGGGGGAGCGGGAGGGCGTGGCTAGACCACGTCTTGTCTTCATTCCTCAATCCGCTTCCCACAGGGCCCAGATTTTGTTCGGACTCTGGCAGAGAAAAGGCCTGATACTGGCTGGGTGAGTATAATCTCCAGCAAAACAGGTAACCGGTCCACTGAAACCTTACCTTCCAAACAGCCTTTAGAGAGATGCCTTTTCTCCACAGCACTCATACCAGAGGAGGAGCAGATTCGGGGAAGGGCTCGGGACCTCCTGAAACCCGGAGCCGTAGGGATTCAAGAAGATGCTGGGGGGCTCTTAGTGGGAGTGAGAGGGAGGCTGAGCAGGCTTAGCACAAAGGCCGGAAATACACTGTAGAAAAAGGTAGTCACAGTGGGGGGACTTAGCCCATCACACCTAAGAAACACACATCAGGCTTAACAAGTGATACTGATTTAAGACAGAGAAACAAAGCAGAAATAGAATTAGACCTTAAAACACATACAAACCCCTCTTGTGTGTTATGTAATAATACATAACAGATTGAATGAAACAAAATTATGGCAAATGGAGCCATTATGATTAATGCTGTGGCAATAAACTATAGCAGTTGGAGAAAAATGTATCACAATAAACCTCACATGAGTCAAGGAAGTACATTTTTTTTAAAAAATCTGATATGCTAAAAGAAAACTGGAAAGGATCCAATTTTGAGATTATTGAACACAAAAATCACATTAATGATGCAATTAATAATGGGTTTGATAACATAACCTTAAAATTTATAATAAAAAGGGCTTCCCTGGTGGCCCAGTGGTTGAGAGTCCGCCTGCCGATGCAGGGGACACGGGTTCGTGCCCCGGTCCGGGAAGATCCCACATGCCGCGGAGCGGCTGGGCCCGTGAGCCATGGCCGCTGAGCCTGCGCGTCCGGAGCCTGTGCTCCGCAACGGGAGAGGCCACAACAGTGAGAGGCCCGCGTACCGCCAAAAAAAAAGAAATACTTGCCCGTGTGCACAAGGAGGACCGGCCGGGAGTTTCTGTAATAGCAAGAGTGGATTACAAATTAAGCATCTATCAGTAGAGGAACGGGTAACTAGAATAACATCGATCTGTAGGAACTAGCGGGGACAGATCACCAAGACGGCCTATTGAGTGAAAAGAACAAGCTGCAGAATGATGTGGGGGGGGCACCATTTGTGTAAACAACAGCGAAATGCCAGACATTCAGGGGCTGTGCACACGTGTGTGCGCGTGTAATAAGGCCTAGAGAATGCACAGGAAGTTGATAACAGTATTTAGTTGACAGGGGTCAGCTCCAAGGGTATAGTGTCATCTGTAATTTTTTTTCAAGAAAATGTATTCATGTATTACTAGTATAATTAAAAATTACCGTAAAATCCAGTTAAAAAGTTGTTTGACTCTTCAAAAAGAAAGAAAGGGATGTTCTTTCGGGAGTACAGGGTGTTATCTCCCAAAGTGCCCCATGAACAGAGAACAGGAGGCATGGAGACGGAAGGGCGTCTCAAGGCCTCTGTCCGGCTGCCCGGCCTCCTCCAGACCCGCTCCCTCCCAGGGGCGTGCTGGGGACCGGGGTGTCCTGGGCGGGCTAGGCTTGGTGAGTTTTACATCCAGGGACTGAGGTGGCTTCCTCGAAGGTAACCGTGCAGCAGCCTGTCCTTCCTCCAGAGGGTGGCTGTGGAATGGGAGGGAGGGGATGGTGGCACCTTTTGAGTGGGAGCATCCCCTGTGGCCCCACTCACCGGCCCCTCCTCTCTGAGCGGGCAGGACAGCCCGGCCCTGCCTCTCCAGCTGAGTCTAGAAGAGACGCCAGCACTGATGGGGAGGACAGCTAAGTAGGAAGGCGCTCTGGCAGGAGGCTGTGCAGGTGCTGCCGGGTCAGCGGGCCAGGGACACCCAACCCTGCCCGGGAACGGGGCCGGCTGAGCCCCTGGCGGGAGGGGGAGGGCGAGGCCATGGCTGCAGAGACGTCAGCTTGACGTGTCCTGTTGCCTTGGCAGGTGATCAGTGGGCTAAAGCAGAGGATTCTCAAGCTGGAGCAGCAGTGCAAGGAGAAGAACCACACCATCGAGTACGGAGCCTTGCGGGGCCGGCCGGGGCCGGGGGGGTGGCCCAGGCTCGGGAGGGGCCCGCTGGGCGCGCATCTGGCCTGCCTCCGGCTCCACGTCCACACTCGCTATGCCCTCAGCTCCAGCTTCCGTTCCCACCCTGCCCCCACGTCTGTGTCCAGCATTGCCATTCACCAAAACAGGACCGTGAACAGCCGTGCCTCTTCCATCCGACCCTAAGGAGCAGTGTTCCCCTTTCCTCTTTTCTTGTTCCTGTTCCACTGAAGAAGTGCTTTCTCTCCTTAGTCTTCTGTGGTCACTTTTCATCTCCAATATGAATTGTATAGACCTTGATACAAGCCCTTAACGCTTGGTCATCTCCCCTACCTGCTTCTCTCGCTGTCACGCACTATCCTGGTGCTGTTTTTTTTTGCGGTATGCGGGCCTCTCACTGCTGCGGCGTCTCCCGTTGCGGAGCACAGGCTCCGGACGCGCAGGCTCAGCGGCCATGGCTCCAGGCCCAGCCGCTCCGCGGCATGTGGGATCTTCCCGGACCGGGGCACGAACCCGTGTCCCCTGCATCGGCAGGCGGACTCTCAACCACTGCGCCACCAGGGAAGCCCCCCTGGTGCTGTTTTTAGGGCAGCAGCGCGGACTCCTTTCCTGCTGTTTTATCACAGAGGAGAGCCTTTCCTAGCTGTGTTTGAGTTTACTTAAGGAAATCTGAGTTTTCACTTTCTGTTGTATCCTCTTTATACAGTAGAACCCCCCTCCTTTGTTTCTTGCTGGAATCGTCAACTTTAAAATTTTTATCATTTGCCGATTTCTTCTGTGTCTCAGAATCCTGAACTCTGTAACTTTACTTTCATTTCTCTGTTAGAGCCTTTTCCCTAAAGTCTGTTAAGTGTTGAGAACAAGGGGAATTATACAGACAATACAACTTGAAAAAAATGATTCTCTTTCCTTTAAAGAACCATTCCCCCCACCTTCCCCAAAGATGACTCTTCCCGTCTAACCCTGAGGTCTTTCTTCACAATTACTGCGGTCTTGCCGGAGTCGGTTACCTCACCCTGGAAAGGGGCAGGTCCAACAAGGAAGGGCCCTGTGGGTGTGAGAATTCTCTCCTCAGCCTTGTGCAAGGCCACGGCCAGCTGAGGGCCGGCTCAGGCTTCACTTCCCAGCCCGGTTCTCTTCCAAAGCCCATCCTTCTCCCATGTTCCGGGAAACAGGCTTCCTCTTGCTCTGCCCACGAATGCTGGCACTGCCATGTCAACTCTGAACTTGGGTTTTTAGCAAACTGCAGACTGATATGAAGACCACTAACTTGGAGGAGATGAGGATCGCCATGGAGACGTATTACGAGGAGGTGCGTGCCCTCCTGCCCCGGGGCGGGGGGCGGGGTCGGAGGGTGGGGGGCCAGCTGCACTGAGGGGCCCTCTTCTAGTTCATCTTAACTTGAACACAAATCAGCAACTTAGTGCTCACTTCCTGCCACTGGGCAGAAGTCAGGAATCACTGCAGTTTTTTCATTTTGTATTAAATGCATTTAAATTTGGTGTTTACAGATTCATCGTCTCCAGACTCTCCTGGCAAGTTCTGAAACGACAGGAAAGAAGTATGATCCTCTCCTTAGGAGCCATGTTTCATATGTTGTTTTCATGTTAAACTGCTGTCGCAGCAGGGTAGGCCTTATGTGGAGCCTGCAGACACTGCCCTGACTTGGGAGCCTGCGCCCATGTTACTCATGGTTAGAGCTGGCGTGTTTCCCTTTGGGATGTTACAGACGTGCCCTCACAGTTGCCATGTGTTGCCCACTAACAGCACAGTCGGTGCTCTGGGCTTTCACTGTTCGTACTACTTCACAGCTTCCAGCTTAGACTTAGAAAACACTAGTTTTCAAAGCAGATCTTCCTTTTCGGAAGACATTTAGTACCAAGTACAAGCTCATCTTGCCAAATAAGTTTATTAGGAGAGACATCAAAGTTTCCTTATCTCGTGGATTTTCCCTTGTCCCTTTCCCAGGTGATATCAGGCTTTCAACAAATTAGGAAAGGAGGGATCCCTTGTCTTAGATTTGGTTGTGCCACCAGCCTCTGCAGTGAATTACTGACGTTTATTGAGCATTTACAATGTGCCAGGCATGGTCTTCCCTTTTTTCCTTTCCTCCTAGTAGTTTAAAATGAGGGCTGGTCGGGACTTCCCTGGTGGCACAGTGGTTAAGAATCTGCCTGCCAGTGCAGGGGACACGGGTTCGAGCCCTGCTCTGGGAAGATCCCACGTGCCGAGGAGCAACTAAGCCCGTGAGTCATGGCCGCTGAGCCTGCACTCTAGAGCCCGTGCGCCACAAATACTGAGCCCACGTGCCACAACTACTGAAGCCCGCGTGCCTAGAGCCTGTGCTCTGCAACAAGAGAAGCCACCGCAGTGAGAAGCCCACGCACCACAACAAAGAGTAGCCCCCTCTTGCCGCAACTAGAGAAAGCCTGCATGCAGCAACGAAGACCCAATGCAGCCAAAAATAAATTAATTAAATAAAATAAAATAGGGGTGGCAAACTTTCTGTAAAGGGCCAGAGGAGTTACAGTCGATTCCCATTATTCACGGCGTTATGTTCTGTAAAGTGTCCACGAACACTGAATTGGGAAATGCTGAACCAGTGCTTCTAGGGGAAGCACGGAGTTCTGTTCCTGAGACCCTCTGGTCACAGCTTTCCCATCACCTGACCGGTATACAACCCACCTTCATGTGTGTTTCTGTTTAAAGGCACCTTATTTAGTGTCCGTTCTTGGTTCATTAGCACTGAACTCTTGACCAACTGCGCCGTGACTCAGGCCTGAACGAAGCTCTGACACGTGTGGTTCCTCCCTGAGCTGTGTCACAGCCTCCTAGCAAGTAAGAACTATGCTGCAGGGGACCCCGAGAGCGGTGAAATCAACAGAAAGCACAAAAACGAGAAAAGACCTCAAAATCCACCCTGTGGATAGGGCGAGATCTGAGACCAGATGCGGACGGCACTTCTCCCCCCAGCCGGGAGTGAACCCGCCTGCAACTCAGACCCACAGACTGACCGCAGAGGCACCACAGGCATCGATCTGGGGGTTACAGATAACGTTTTAGTGCGTAGGCGAATTTGCAAATATGGATTCTGTGAATAAAGGGGATTGACTGTATTTTAGACTTATTTTGCGGAATAAAAGGCAAGATCAAAACTATTATCTAAGGGGCTTCCCTGGTGGCGCAGTGGTTGAGAATCTGCCGGCACGGGTTCGAGCCCTGGTCTGGGAGGATCCCGCATGCCGCGGAGCAACTAGGCCCGTGAGCCACAACTACGGAGCCTGTGCTCCGCAGCAAGAGAGCCCGCAACAGTGAGAGGCCCACGCACCGCGATGAAGAGTGGCCCCTGCTCGCCACAACTAGAGAAAGCCCTCGCACAGAAACGAAGACCCAAACAGCAAAAATGAAAAAAATTTTAAAAATTAATCAAACTCCTACCCCCAACATCTTCTTTAAAAAAAAAAAAAGAAAAAAATAACTATTATCTAAGTACTTATGGAACAACAGAGAAAGTAAATTTCCACAGGTTCTTTAGTGATCCTGTTTACTGTCCATTGCTAATGACTGAACACAGTATTTTGTTACACAGGCGCACTGATGAGAAGAACGGATAGAGTCTGCTTGTCTGGGCTTCAGAGTTAGTGTTCCCTGTTTAATCGCAAACGTCCATCAGCAGAAACCACGCTGAGCGCCCGGGCTGCCGAGCGCCCACCCCTCACTTAGGACACGTATTAAACCAGTTCAGGCACCAAACCTTAGCCGCTTGGTCTCCTTCCTCCTAGGCCTCCAGTGGAGAAGAACATCGGCCTTAAAAGGCAGAAAAGAATGAGCAGCGCCCTCCTGAGCTTGTCCCGGAGCGTCCAGGAGCTCACGGAGGAGAACCAGAGCCTGAAGGAAGACCTGGACCGCGTGCTGAGCGACTCCCCCACTGTCTCCAAGATAAAGGGTACCTGCTCCCCAGAGCCGCCAAGGGGGGAGGCGGGGGTGGGGACGCCAGGAGGGGCCCCAGGATGCGGGCGGCTGCGGCCGCAGGGGAGTCGTGGCCCTCCTTCCCCCGCGCACCCCGGGGCAGCGCTGCTCCAAGGTGTGTTCCAAAGCGGCGGGAGCCCGCTGAGTGCCAGGTGCCGTTCTAGACACAGAGCTAGAGCAGTGAAGGTGCTCGTGCTAAGACGGGAAGCCAGCAGGTCAGATGCCGGCCAGGTGGTAAGAGCGCGGGTCAGGGGGCCGCGGGCGGGGCGGGCACCAAAAGGCGCAGAGCCCCCGAGTGTCCCGGCGCATCTGAGGCCGGGGGCCCAGCCTGCGTACACGCTGGCCATGGACACAGAGGTGAGGGCGGGGGAGAACAGGGCCCTGCAGGCCACTCAGGGCACGGAGGGCTGGAGCAGGGGTGGGAGGGTCCGCCTCGCCTCTCGAGGACCCCCTGCTCCTGTGCTGAGTGGACACCGTGTAGGAAAGGGCCTCGCGGGGGCCGCTGGTGGCCTGGCCCAGGTGGCACAGCAGTGGCGAGAGGTGGCCGGGCTCCGGTGCAGGTGGGGAGTGCGTGCAGCCTGTGAGGGACACGGGGGTCCGGGCTACTGAAAGGACAGGCGGGGGTGGGGGACATGGAGCGAGCGTGCCGGGTGGGTGGGTGGGTAGGTGGCCGGTGGAGGTCGGTGCGTCGGTGAGTCGGGGGTCGGGCGGGGCCCTCGGCAGGAGGACCGGTCCTGGAGGCCGTCGGGGACCAGATGACCCGGTGAGAGTCCGGTCACCCAGCGAGTGGGGGGAGGATGGACCAGCTGAGCCGCTTGAGGGGCCGCCAGGAGCGTGTGGGTGCCGGGGAACACGATGGTGGCCGGGGGGCTGGGGCCGAGGCCGGGGCCTGGGATGTGGCAGAGTGGACTTGCTGCTGAGCTAGAGAAGGGCCGTCTTGGCAGGCTGGTGAAGCCAGAGCCCGACGGGATGGAATCGGGAGAGAAGGCCGCACTGAGCCCTCTCCCGACCGTTTGTGTCGGTAAAGCCGCAGTGAAAGGGAACAGACGTCGCCGTGGGGCTGCCCTCGGCACCGCAGGTCTGCCGGGCGTGGGGCCGCCGGCCGTGGGGGCCAGCCTGTGGAGGGGATGCCGTCGGGCCGTGCTCCAGACGGGAGGTCTGGGCTGAAGGGGCCCGTCGGGACAGCTGTACGAAGGGCGCCCGTCACACCCCGCTGTTCCATCAGGCTCTGTGGAGTGGAGCAAGCCCCGGCTGCTTCGGCGGATCGCAGAGCTGGAAAAAGTGAGTGTGGTCCCACCACGGCAACTTCCCTGCTCAGGACCTGCCTGTGTGAAAGCAGCGGGTCTTAGAACACGGGACAGACGTAGCGCCGCTCCCGGGACTTACGCAGGGAGTCGGGTTGCGCTGAACATGTAAACGGTGGCCGTCTGTCCGCAGACGGCACGCGGACACGCTGGCAAGAGGAGACTCTTACGGGTCCGGATGAGACCTAAGGGCGTGTCATGCCTGTCCCTCGTGTCACAGACGGCAAAGCATGGTCACACGACACACTGAAACGTTTCAGGCTCTCGTGGGCACCCGTCACTGGGTGCGTAGGATCCCAGAGCCTTTCAGACACCCAGCCTGCCGTGCACATGGGGGCTTTTTACTACTAGTCACTTTATCACCACTCGTATAGTATTTGAATTCACAGAAAACTGTGCATCCGCACTTTGCCAACCGGGAAAGTCAGGAAGTTAACGTTTCCTCATATCCCCCATGTGAATTTGCAAATGTCGTCAATCTGGTTCTGTTGAAATGGGTCAGAAGTGTCCCTCCCTTTTGAGTACTGGTACAGTATCAAGTTAGAACTGTCAACTGTTTGGCTGAGCAGAGTAAACCTAGAGGGGAGCAATAAAAAAAACAATAATTTCACGTATTTACAAAGCAGAGAACTTAAGTGTCTATAAACTGTGGGTAGTTCAAGAATAAAGCTTGTTAGGAAAGAAGGGCAGCCAGAGGTGGTCCAGAGCCAATGGGGCAGCGCTCTTCCACTCGGAGAGATGCTGATATCAGTGGGAATCTGAAGGCGCTCAGTATCTCCAGCGGGCAGAGCTGGATCGTCTTTGACGTGTGAAAGCACAGAGGCTGAAAATTCCAGACGTCCTAGGGAAATAATAGGGTAAACAAGCACAAAGGAAAGCAGTTTACGATTTCACCTTCCGTGCTCTGCTCTCTGTTTATTACCGCACCTGCCCCATCCCGGCTGGGTCTGCGTGCTCCCTGCTCCAGAGGAAGAGGGTTCTGGGTGTGTGGGGGGTGGGCGGGGATGCCCTTCCATCGCCCCCAGGACTCTGGTGGAGCAGAATTGTCCCCGGTCAGTGTCCCAGGTTTCTCAGATCACACGCAGAGCTCTTCCCATTCCCTTGCTTGGGATGAGCTTCCCCTTGGCCGTTGTCTCTTTCCTAGGAAAGTAAAGTAAGAAATAACGTCTAACACAGATGCCTGTGTTGCCTCCAGAAAATAAGTCTGATGGAAAGCCCCAAATCCCATGCTTCAGAGGTGGTCAGGTCTACCCCGCCGGCTCACTCGGTGTCCAGCCCCACGGTGCACCGGCAGCCGCGCCCCGACCGCCAGGAGGAGAGCGAGCGACTGCGGGGGGTTGTGAAGATCCTGAAGGGCGAGCGGAAGGCCCTGCACACCCGGCTGCAGGAGCGAGAGTACGTTGTCCCGCACTGCTGGCGCCCGGCCACCTCCGGGAGAGGTCCTGCTCCTGTGACTTGTGTAGTTGCTGGACTTGAGCTGTTCTGGGGATTTGGGGAAGGCTCAGCTCATGGCAGTCGTCACACAGATACGTTTCTACGATTCTAAAACTTGTGATGTTTTAGTTGTGAAATGAAGGCAGCTTCAGTGGGGAAAAGGAGACACTGATTGGCCGTATTATGTCACGAAAAGCACGGGGCGGAGGGTGCCATTTAAATCTCTTTACACGGAATTCCAGAGGGCTTTCCAAATTCTTTTTTAGAGAAGCATTGACTGTGATTGATTCGTGTAAGATAATAGGCCATCCATCAGATCTCTTGCAGAAGGGTTTAAAGATTCAGTACTATGTTTACAACATCTAATCTGTGCATCAAGCAAGACAGGTGCTGTGGTGTGTGGAGTATTCAGTGTGACCGTAAGAGTGTGGAAGGCGAAGCCTCAAGGTTCTGCTCATTTGCCCTTTGTTCTCTAGTGTCTCGCTCTGTAGCCCCCTTAAAACGCTCCTGTCTCCTCCACCCGTTGTTTACGTGTGGCTTCTCCAGTTGCAGTTCTGTCGCGAGCAGGCTAAACCCATGCATCTTCTGAGATGGTGTTTCTGAGACCTTGCTACTCAGAGTGTGGCCTAGGAAGCCAACGACCTCAGCATCAGCTGGGGGCTGGTTAGAGATGCAGACCCTCGGGCCCTGCCCACCTGGGGCTGGTTACCTTGGCCTGGCCCAGATCTCCTGAACCTGGCTCTGCATCTAATGAGACCCGCCCCCCGGTGATTCACGTGCACGTCGAGGTCTGAGAAGGACCTGTCTCTGCTGCCTTACCATTCACAGCAGAAGGCAAATCCCTTCCCACTCCACCTGTTTTTTCACCTCCAGTCGAAGCCTAATAGTGCATCCATGCGCTAGGTTCTTTATAAAAATTAGGCCAGTCATTTTGCACGGTAAATAGCATCTCTGATTATCTCTTAAGCCGTCGCATGGCACGATAATAACTTCCACTCAGTGAGCCCTTACCGTGTGACACTCCTGGTGATGTATCTCATTCACGTGAGGTCACCACCACGGTGAGCAGTGGAACGTTTTAAAGCCACGTTCTCAGCGAGGCATCACCTGTGGGGCACAGGCAAGCTTGGGTGGAGGTGCCTGGGGTCCTCTTGTCTTCGAGGCCTCAGCTCAGGCTGCATCCCCGTCTGGTCCACGGTGGGTCCTGGGAGCTCTCATCTCAGGAGTAGATTAGGCGTCCAACTGTGTGACCGCCGGGTTAATGCCTCTCCCCGCGGGACGGTGACGCCCGTGAGAGCAGGGCCTGCGCCTCGGCCGGGAGCCCTGCTCCGTCCGTTGCCTGCGCGCGCACGGAAGGTGCTCAGTAAATAACCGAGCGCCCCCGGCGCCCCCTGCAGTTACAAAGAAGGGCCTTTCTTCATCCTCAGCCATGCATAAGTAAGGAGGTTGGACCCGTTACGTTTTCTGAAAGCTCTTCGCGCTCTGGTGACCAGGTCACTGTGAGCCTTTGTTTTAATGACGCTGAAATACCTCTGGTTCCTCGTTCAGTCTGGAGGTGAAGCAGCTACTGCAGACAAAGGCCGACTTGGAGAAGGAGCTGGAAAACAGGAAGGAGGGTGAGAAGGAGGGAAGAGAAAGAGAGGAGGCTTTGAGGTGAGTGGAGAAGTCGGAAGACACACAGCCCCAGGCCCTTCCTTCTTCCCCAGCCCCGCCCACCCCGGCGCGTCCGCGCTCAGCCCGCATCGAGAGCGGTCCGTACAGCTCCGGCCCGATCACATCGCTCCTCTGCTGAAGTCCTCCCGTGGTTGGCTGTTTCCCTCAGTAAATATCCGACCTCTGGGGAAAGGCTGCTCACGGTTGGGCCAGTGTTTGCCGCTCTGGCATCACGGCCAGCTCCCCGGCCCGCAGCCTCCTCCAGCACGGCCGCTGCGGGCAGCCTCAGAACGCGCCCTGGTTCCACACCCCGGGTCCAGACGCCACCTCCCACGCTCCGTCATTGACCTCTGTCCACCGTAGATAAAAAGTGGACACATGGCAAATGTCCGTCAGCTGGTGAAGAGAGTAAAAACGGGCGTACATCCGTACAAAGGGATGAGGGCTGACACCTGCCACGACGTGGATGAGCCTCAGAAACATGATGCTCCCTGAAGAGGCGGACAGAAAAGCCCGCATACTGTGCGATTCGGAAATATCTGGAATGGGCAGATTAATAGAGAAGACAGTGGATTAGGGGTTATATGAATGTTATCGCAGTAAGAAATGCCCAAAAAAGTAGGTTAGAAATCTGCGCAGAAATATTTAGCACTCAGAATAATTAGTAAGACACGGATTACCGAAATGAATACCAAATTTTATCTTCAGAATAAACGTGACTAGACTTTGGCAGAAGCCTAGAATTAAAGTCCATCAGAATGGGCGGGCATGCAGTGAAGAATTCTTTTTACCTTGCCCCTGAAATCTGTAGCAAGTACATGAGTTGTTTTTCCTTCCACTCGCCTTGCTTGTTAAAACCCCCAAAGGATATCCGTGCATCGTTCACGCAGTCGGTATTTTTTCCATTCCTCCCATGTGTCAGGAGTGGGGTCGGAGGGGTCGCCCTGGGCAGTGCCGGCTCCTGGGCAGTCAGGTGGTGGCGGGGCACCCACCTCGTTCCCGGGGGGCGTCCTTGCCAGCTCTGCAGGCCGCCACCCCTCCTGTCACGTACAGACATCTTACACAGCGTCATGGCAAGTACAGTGTCACTTTCTTCCCTTCCCACTTTAGGGAGGAAATTCAAGCACTTACCAGGAAGTTTCAAGAACTGGAAGAAAGTAAGAAAGGAGGGGAGGAGGACCCCGAGGAAACGAGCCCGGAGGTAGGGTTGTCTGTGTTTTTACCTCCTGTCCGGCATGGCGGGACTCTGAGCTGATGCGTTATGGTTCTGACTGTCTCCGTGCCCGGAGTTTTGCCTGAATCCAACGTTGACAGTCCAGTTTCCTTCTACCATCACAATCGATTTCTATAAATTGCGTGTATTGAATCCTGGAGTTCTGCAGTAATTATCAGTTAATTGACTTTTCAAACTAGTATTCGCGTCTTAGATAGTTAAGCCGGTGAGTGAAGATCTTCCCCAAACTTCAAATAAAAGTTTAAATATCCAACAAGCGTTGCCGTTAGAAGGCGAGAAGGAGTTTGGGAAGGCCCCAGGGAAGGCTCGAACTCTCAGTGAAGAACCGGAAGGTTCAATGTAAGTTGCAGAGTCTGGCACTGATGCGGGGGCCGGCCGGGAAGGCGCTCGCCGGGGCCGGCACGACCCCCGCCCCTGCCCCTGCCCCTAGGCCGGGGGTTGGGTGACTGGGGAGCCGCAGCTCCCTCCGCAGGGCCCGTGGGCAGGTAGGCAGGCGGTGAGTCTAGGCTGACCCTCCTCCCTGTCCCCTCGCTCCCTCCATTTCTATGGACACCACGTCAAGGGTCTCCCCTGGCACCTCCCTGAGCACCTTCTTGAACCAGGGGAGCCCTCTGGCCCCCGTCGGCCCAGTGCTACCTATGCTAGAACTTCTAGTGGCGAGAGTGTGTCTCCTCGCTAATCCTTTTTTTTCCAATTAATGGATTCCCCAGATGGCAATTATATAATCTTATATCTGTTAACACAAAAAACTAATAACTGAGGTATTGAAATCCTGTGGCTGCAGTTTGCCCCAAGAGGAGCCTGTCGTGTGAGTGTGTGACAGGGAAGACCAGCCTGGCCGGGGCGTCCAGCGTGGGTGCACGCTGAGATGGGCAGCCGTGCCGCCCTCTTCTGAGACCCTTGCTACAGATCTGAGTAACACGCCGAATGCACCAGGACGGCCAGGCTTTACCCGGCACACATTTTAGCCGAGAAGTTCTGTTGCTTCAGAAAGCGACTTGCTGTTTCGGTAGCCAGTAGCCTGACGGGGACTGGCCTCTAGGAGAGGGAGGGCATACCAGGTGCGGGACTGACTTATCTGCTGAGAACAGAAAAGAAAAGTGTTTGGGTTTGTTTTTTTTAAATCTAGATGGGCCTCCCTCTTACAAGGTTTTCTTATTTAGCTGGAGTCCTGTTTTAAGGCCCCTTCTTCTTTTAGCATCTGACGCTACATATACTTCAACCCCAGCACAAAAGGGAAAGAGAAAAGCCCTAAAAGGGAATGTGGAGAAGCTGACGAGCATGTCTCTCTCCAGTTACAAGTTGAGACAAACCCCAGGCCACCGACTGATTCGGCAAAGGAAAGGTGGCTCTCCTGGCACGTGCTGGCTGGAGCCCCGTGGGCTGTGCGGTGCCCTTGACCCCGCATGTCCAGCTGGCCACACGTGGGGTGGACGTGTGAGTCCATCTCAGTCCCTTCCGTTGTTCAGGAAGGTAGACTTTCTGTGTTACCCGCATGGGTGCATCTCCTTGGCAGCTTTTCCAGTGCTTTAGATAATGTTCTGAGTCCTGCAGAGGCACTGTCCTCCTGTCCAGGAAATTGGCCACCCTGCCCGGTGGGCCCTTTTCAGGAGACCCCTACCTACCCAAACGCCCGCGCTGTCAGCCCCAGGTGGCTGTGGCGCCGGGCCGCTGACTGCCCGGCGTGTGGCGGGCAGAGCTGCGCTGTTTGTCTCCTCGACGCTCCTTTCCCAGTGGGATGCTCACGGTGCTGACCGACCTGTGGCTTGTCTGCCGCAGGCAGCCCTGACCCCTGGGGGGCACCCGACACACGTGGATTTGGAGATTTCTGCTTATTCCTGAAGCTTTCCCTTAGGGAGAAAAATATTTTCCACGTCCACCGGAACTGGCAGTAATGGCTTTGTCTGTGCAATTCATCTGGTTCTGCGCTCCCACTGCAGGGGACACAGGTTCGATCCCTGGTCCGGGAAGTTCCACGTGCTGCAGGGTCCGGCCAAACAAACAAGCAAACAAACAAAAAACCAAGCTAGGAATCTATTGCCTTTTATCTCAGAAGTCCCATTTTTGTAATCCAGTATTAGACGAAAAGGGAGCCGGTAAAAGGACCTCCCGGGTCCTTTTTACAAAAAGCAGATAATTGATGCACAGACGTGACTGAGCTCAGAAGGTGCGTTGTGGTTACCTGATGACACCACAGGTCACGCTGCTTCCCCTCCTCGCGGGAGAGCGCTACCCCCAGAGTTTACAGGGTTAACGAAAACTGACTTTCACCCTAGTTACTAGCGAATATGTTAGCTCTCCAGAGACTTCTTTTGTCGTCTGGCATGCTGAGCGGTGTGGACACTGATTTTTTTCCTCTAAATTAAAGTCTAGTCTGAGAAGTTTTGCCTGCATCCTGCTATCCTGCCCCCGGGCCTGATAGCCGGCTTCTCCGCCCCCATCCCCGACCCAGTCACCCTTCTCACCTTGGACTTCCTGCAGACCCGGCAAGCGCCCCGACCCCCCGGTCCCTCCCAGACGGACTCGGAGCTGGACACGAGCGAGGGGGGCTCCTCCTGGCCGCGCTCCGGCTGCTCCGAGGGCAGAAGAGATGCCGCCGCCCGGCTCCTGCAGCGCCGCTGGAAGGGGCACCAGCACCGGGTGAGGGTTCCCTTGCCCGCCGGCCCTCTGCTGCCCACATCCTCGCTCGCCAGCCCTTCCTCCGTCCCTTTGCCGGGGCGGGCTCCGTGCCAGACGCCCTAGACACGTAGGAAAACATAGGGAGGCAGAAGATAGCCTCCGGAGACCCGGGGTCTCTGGCGGCAAGGGCGAGAGGAAGGCCGCGCCTGGAGCCCGTGTGGGCGAGCTGGGGGGTGCCTGCCGCGGGCCGGGCAGTGGCTGGTCTGGAAGCCTCTGTCACCTCCCGACGGGTCCCAGGGACGCGGGCTGTGGGTGCAGCGCCCCTGCAAGCACGGGACTGAGCTTATGGGTCTCCCTGGCAGTTCAGGCCCCATGGCAGCCCTTCACTGGGGCTCCCGGGATGGCCGTCTTGTCAGGAACAGGGAGAGCCTGCCTCGGGGCTGCTCCTCAGGGGACAGCGGCGTGGGTGACGGGACAGCAGGGCTGCGCGTGGGGTGTCAGACCCGGGGGTGGGCTGAGTAGGGCAGCAGGGGCCGCAGGCTGCGCACGACAGACCGGGAGCTGCGATGTCCCGTGGTCTCTCTTGGGGGAGGAGTGGGGCTCCTCTCCTCAGCTCCTGGGGGGGGCTCACGGAGATGGGGCTCGCGGAGACCTCAGTTGTTAAAGGACGGTGCTCTCTGATGACGAAATGCTCTAAAAGAGCCCCCTCCCCCCGTTTGATAGAACGCACACGACCCTTGTTCCCCCAGCTGGACAAACAGAAACTGGAACTCTCCACCTGCCTGAATAGTGTAAGATCTTAGCTCCGGAGGCGCCGGTGGAGGGTTTTTTTAATCATGGCTTCTTCCCAACTTTGATGATGAAAATTTACAAAACATAGAAAGTTGAAAGAATTTAGTATATTCAGCGAGGTACTAATTCTTGCCCACCACCTCGGTTCAACAACAGTGCACGTTTAGCCACATTTCTTTTCTGCACGTACTGTTCTTTCCAGAACCGTTTGAAAGTAAGTTTTAGACGTTATGAGACTTCAGTGCGTATCTTCTAGGAACGAGGATGTGCCACTTAACCATAGTACTGTGACAGCACCGGAGAAATTCCCCCGCCACCCCGTGATTTTGATGACTGGTCAGACTTGGGAGTCAGTGACCCAGACCCTGCACGGGGGTCCCCTTTGTAACATCACCAGCGGGCAGTGTCCAGCCTCTCTGTGGACATCCAGAGAGGACACCGCATGTTATAGGACAGTTCTGGCTGGGGGAGGGGCTTCCTCACGTGGAGCCTAAGACAATCCCGTCTCAGCGGTCCCTGCGAGTCACTTCGCCGCGCAGCCGGCCAGGAACCACAGACGGCCCCGTGGCGGCCTGGGCTTCAGCTGTGATTCGCCTCCCGGTCACGGTCGCTTGCTGCCTCCTCCGCTGTTGCAGGCGGGTCTGCATCAGCTCCACCAGCCTCTCCCGGAGCCCCTTGGGTATGGGTGGCGGGCAGGGGGCTGTCGGCGAGGGGCGGGTCCCTGACTGCTGTTGCGTCGCTGTTGGCTGTGGCAGGGGGAGGGACCAAGGGACGAATACGGTATCACAGAAAACTCATCCTCGTGTTAATTCATAACTGATCTCCTTATTTCAGAAAAAACAGGCCGCTCTGCACGAGGTAAGCCAGTTTTATTTTACTGATTTCAAAATACGTATTTTTACTTTGGTTCAAGTGACTGTGTGGAGATCTCAAGAAGCGTCATTGAGTCCGTGTTTTCACGAACCCAGGCCAGGCCCCAACACTGAGTTAAAATACTTAAGTGATGTTAGCATCAAATAAATACTTGGATAATTTCACACTTTCATAACTCATTCAGTCATTCATCATTCTCTCAACACACTTTTATTGATCGTCAGTTCTGTGGGCCCTCAGGACAGAGAGACATTAAGACAGACAAGCCAGTCCAGGATGGAAGGGGGGTTTAGGGGCACGTCCACGGCGCTGTGGGGTTCCTGCTCACCAGGGCCGGGAACGTCCCTGCAGGGGGGGCAGGCCTTGAGAAGGAGAGGGACTCCCTGAACTGGGGATGAGAGGAAGGGCATCCTGGGCAGGAGAATTCAGCAAACACAGCCCTGGGTAAGGGAAAGGGTGTGGCTTGCCCGGGAACAGGAGAGCAGGGATGTGACGGAATGCGGGTCAGAGCAGAGGACAGCAGGGTATGTGGTAGACAGTGCACATCTAAGCTGCCGGGACCCTCGCCCGGCCTCCCCACCGGCCCCAGCTTCTGCTCTGCCCTCCCACGGCCTATTCCCTCTCACACTTGGAACAAAACCCAAAGCTGTTCCCTGAAGCCCCGCATGCGCTGCTCCCCGGCCACCCCTCCGGCCCCGTTCAGTCTGGAGGCGTCTCTGGCATCCTTGAGAATATCCAGGCTGCTCCTGCCACAGGGCCTTTGCGCCTGCTGCGCCCTCTGCCTAGAAGGCTCCTCCTCCAGACACTCGCATGTCCTGCCCCCGACTTTACTCAGGTCTCTGCTGAAACACGACCTTCCCTGGACGCCGCACCACCGGCACTCCCCAGCCTCGCGCCCTGCTTTAGTCTTCTTCATAGCTCCTGTCCCTACCCGATACTTCACCCTTTTTGCAACTGCTTGCCTCTCCCATTAGAATGTAAGTTTCGCGGACGCGGGGACCATCCCGTGTTTCTGCTGCTAGGTCCCTGGTTCCTAGAGGGGTGCCTGGTGTGCGGTCGGCATTCAGTAAACGTTTGTGAGCGACTGAGGGGACGAGGGTCCCTGGAAGGACCGTAGAGCACATTTATGAAGCAGCCGGCGGCCTGTGTGCTGTCGATGGTGTTCCGCCCTTTCCCCTCCAGTGTCCCCTCCTCCCTCAGCCTCCAGGGTGATTAAGACCCACCGTGCGGGCTGTCGTGTGGGCAACATGGCGCGCAGGACGCCTGCTCCCCTTTCTGGCCTGCTCGGTCAGCACCCTCACCCCTCCAGCGGGTGCGGTGGCTTTCCTGTGAGCCGCGTGGTGGGAACCTTCTGGGTTTGTCTAAATACTCATTTGCTTTTGGTGCGTTATTTTGTCCTTCGTAACTGATGTTCTCTCGCCTCTTTGTTGTCTCCTAACCCCTGTTTGTGGCATTTCCTTCACTTTGCGGTCAAGGAAGACAAAGATGTTTTCTTTTGGTGACTGTGATCATGGAAGCATCTGAACCTCTAAATGCAGGTTCAACGGCGGGGCTCAGTGTGCTAGAGTGTCGTTCTCCTAAATGTTATGGAGCCGTAAGCCCGTCCTCAGGACTAGAGGCAGGACCCCTGAAATAAAAGTGCTGCCCCTAAAATCCGGAACGTTGATCTCAGAACTTACAGAGCATCCATGTGTATCTCTAAAGAAAGTGATTTAAGATTGAGGTCAAAGGATACGTAATTCCTTTGTCATAGTCTGAGATCAGGCTCCGCCCTACTTGACTTTAGAAGATGTACGTGGAAAGCGTATGAAGTGGAATAACTATTCCAACACGGAATAAACGATCTCAGCATGAAAACATAACTACGTGTAAAATACGGAATCACATTTGCAGCTAAATGTAATAGCGTTTAACAGGGCCTTTTCCTCCCCAGAGCAGTGGCATGTTTCTCGCTGTAGGAGGTTGTGGCGAGTGAGGGAGAGAGGCTCCTTCAGGCACTGCTGAGATTCTGCGGCAGAAAGGGAGCCCTCTTCTAGGCCATTGGAGCGTCTCCCTCTGGGACGCCCCAACCCGTGCCTGCCGTCTTCCAGGGAAACTGACACCCGTCTCCGTCTCCCCCCACCCCCCACCCCGCTGCCCCCGCTAGGCTGCCATGCTGCAGGCGGCTTTCCGGGGGCATCCGGCACGGGCGAGGCCATTGTCTAGTGGAGTGTGCAGCCCGGACCCCCCTGCCGTGCCAAGCCCTCCCACCCAGGTAACCCTCAGGGGCTGCACACGGGCCCAAGTCCTAACGTTCTCTCTCCATTTCTTCCCACGCTTTGTCGGCGGGACAAGCGTAGACGCCTTTGGGTCCTCGCGTCCTGCCTCGCCCTGGGCGTGTGCCTCGCCCTCCAACCCCTGGCACCCGTGCCCCCCCCAGGGTTGAGCTTCAGGAGCCGAATGGCGTTGAGGTGCTGGGACATCGAGTACCGTGTCCATCTTGGGATCAAGACAGAGGCTTAAACTACAGCAAAGATAGGAGTCCCTCCCCTGTGAAAACCACCAGACACCAATTCTAAGAATCTCTAGAGTCCAAGTAACCTGCAGTCAGGAAACTGCTGACGAAATAGTTAGTAACGAGGGCAGCCACCCAAATCGGCATTGCGCTCCTAACCTGGCGCCGAGGGTCCACACGTAGGAGGTGGCGGGGGTTCACGCGGTTCTCTTCCCCACCGTCGCTGCCCCAGGACTCGCCCGAGCCCCGCGTCCCGAGCCCCGTCGTCCAGGCCGAGGGGGACCCGTGGCAAGAGGAGGCCATCACCATCATCCAGTCTGCCTTCCGGGCACACCTGGCACGGGCCGGGCACAGGTAAGTCCACCTGGCAGGCCTACCTCTGTTCTGTATTGCAGGGCAGTGCCGGACACCTGCGGGGGCTGCCCAGCCAGAAAGGCACAGGGTGTATCACCAGAGCATAAGCTACACCCACCCACCCGGGTGAGGTGGGCCACAGGCTCCGGTCCTTGGAAAGAAGCCTTTCTAGGACCGTTTCCTCCTGCTGGGAGAAAACAAATGGGAGGGGTTAGACAGCATGGGGTTCGGGGAGCCCTCGGTTTGCAGACTGCCTGTCGGCCTGTGCCGATGCCCTGCCCCTTCCCGGAGGACACCGTGGCGTGACCCATGTTCAGGAAGACGTGGGTGTCGTCAGAAGCCTTCCTGCAGCAGCACATTCTTGTCAGTGGCACCGTGCCTGCCGGATCCGCCGGGACTTGGTCAGGACTGTCCCGGCTGCAGTGGCTCAGAACGCTGTATGAGTCACCTCGGGTAAAGAGTGGGACTTACAGCGGGCCAGGGGCCGAGCTCGGGTTGGGGCCCGTCCCTGGTGCAGCCAGCCACGGCCGGGGGTGCAGGGGACACGCCCGAGGCCCCTCACAGCCCACCTGTCTCAGGACCTGGGCCCGTTGGCCTCGCACGATGTCTCAGAACCTGGGCCCATCGGCCTCGCACGATGTCTCAGGACCTGGGCCCGTCGGCCTCGCACGACACTGGCCTTCCCTAAAGTCAGAATCAGCTAGTCTCTCTCTCTCTCCCAGTGCTGCTGGTCCAAGAGCTGCCACTGCAGCGTTTCCCGACAGACCTGCTTGGGCCCCACACAGTGCACCCTCCTCTCCGCCCTTCCCTGCAGCCTCTCCTGGTAATTGCATTTCATTTTGGATTTCACGCGAGGGGCAGCCGGCCTTCTGAGGTTTCAACCAAAAGAGCTGCCACCGTCCCGGAAGTTGGGACGTGTAAAGTCGTGGGGGCTTGTCCGCGGCCACCTGCGAGCTGGGTAACGCCTCGGCCACACCTTCCTGTCACAGCTGCGTCCCCTGTCCCTTGGGTCGTAGGGGAAAGAGCCGGCCCCAAGCGACTTCCTGGAGCCCGACAGGCTGGCCGGTTCCGGGGTCAGTGACCGCAGGCCACGCAGTCGGAGCTTCGTGGTTTTGATTTTTATTCTCAGCTCTAACTAGAGCAACGCGGTGTCCCTCCTTTGGGCCAATGTTTTTCCTGTTTGTTGGTTTTAAGTAAAACTTTGCTTGTATTTCCTCTTCTGCTTCATTAAGATCCAATAACAGTCAGCGGAGAAATCCCTGGACTGGCAGGGGCACACAGCCCATGGTGAGGCCCGGTCCCAGCTCTGCCCCACTCCAGACTCGGGGTCCTCCCCGGGCCTCACTCCTCCTGTGCGAGAGCCCGAGGGTTGGGCAAGGCCCCTTGCAAGTCGCTTTCAGTCCCCAAATGTATGATTCTGCCTGTACTGCAGGTCCTCCTCCCTCAGACTGTAACCGGGACACTTGCTTGGACCATCTCTGTACGCCAGAGGTGGCACAGAGGTGGCGGTGTGAGGTCGGGGACTGTCACTAGACAGAGCGTAGTCTTGAGTCTCGTTTGCGAGCGTGGCGCGCAGGCTGAGTTCTGAGGTCGCAGAGGCGCAGTCGGAGAAGGGCAGGAAGGGCTTGGTGCTTCGTAATGAGGGAGAACTGTAAAAGGAGCAGTTTTTCTGAACAGAAGTGTGTGCCTAGGAAGATGGGTGGGTGCGACGAGCCTGTGAGGATGGGAGCCTCCCACGTGCCTGTCGTTTCAGGGCAGGAAGACAGCGAGGGGAACAGCGGGGAGACCGCGGAGGCTCTGGCTCCCGGGAACGGAGCGCCGAGGCCATGGGGGCCAGGGGCGCCGGCAGCCCCGCCGCCCTGCTCTGGTGAGTGTCGGGTCGCGGGGGCGCTTCTGGGGCTTGCCTGACCTGGAAACCGCCACGTGTGAAAAATCGTACTCTGTCCTCTTCGGTCATCTTGTCTGGCTTTGTCAGAGCGAACTTTGAGCTTTGAGGTTCTGTCCAAAACCTCCGTCTGTAAAGCTCCCCAAAGGCTGCATATTATTCTCCCAAAACCAGTTTCAGTCTGATTTCACCAGACCCTACATTTGGCGACCTTTAGATTCCTCGATCAGGGCTAAAGGGCCTGTGTATGCCACCCTTTTCTCCTCCTGTTAAATGCGTGTCCTTTCAAAGTGGCAGCTCATCCTCCTGCCTGAAAAGCGCCACCGCCGGCCTCGTTCGGGCCCTTGTTTACACGAGGAAACGGTCTCTGTGAAAACTGCACATGGAGCCCTTGTTTGATCTGATTGTGAAAGTGTTTTTAAAGGGAAAGAAAAACTGAAGCTAACCTTGAAAACTGCTGTTTTTAATTTCATAAGTTTTTCCACTCTCATAGTTTTCTTGACAGTTACAGAAAAAAAGCTGACAGAGTTACAGTATCCGCAGCTCGCGGGGTGGTGATTTCCTTCCTTCTTTTATCTCAAGTCAGGGATTGGTTCCTTTTTTATTGGCACTTTACTTTGTGAAGCAGTCAGAGCAGAGGCCGTCTTCTGGGGCTGGGAGCACGGGCCCCAGGCCCCAGGGGAAACTGCCCCTTCCTCACGTCCCATCCAGGTGGCCACTGAGGGCGGAGGGGGTCTGCAGGGTGGTCGGCAGGCGCATCCCAACCTAGGGTCGATTACGATGAAGAGTTTAGATGTGCGTGAAGAAAGGAGCGAGAGCTCGCGGGTGGTCCCTGGGTGTTGGCCTGGCCTGGCCCGCCCCCTCCTCCTGCGGGAGGCGTGTCCTCCCAAGGAAGCCGGGGGCCACCGGCTGCATCTGCCCACGAGTCACAGCCGGCCGCCCGGGCCGCAGACTCCCGGACGCACGCTACCGTGAGGGCGACGTGCAGAGAATCCCCGCCGCCGACTTGAGCCTCCCCCGTGCCGCCAGCCTTCACCTTTCGCGGCTGTTTTGCTTTGGGGAAACTGGCCGACGCTTGGGAGCTGAGCGCAGAGGGTGCGAGTGGGCTCTAACGAGGGTGGCCGCGTGCCGTGGCGTGGCGTCCGTCAGGCCTGCACCGCCGTCCCTCGCGTGTCCACCCCCGACGGCGCTGAGCGTGGCCGTGACCGCCGTCCCTTCTCTGTTGCAGCGGAGCCCTCTCCCTCGGGGCCGCAGCGCGCCGCGACTCCGCCCGCGGAGGACGTGAACTCCGATGACTCCGACGAGATCGTCTTAGCTCCGCCTGTGCCCACGAAGAAAATCGCCTCCCCGCCCTAGGCCCCTGCGGTCGCCCGGCACGTGGCGATGCCCTGTCCTGGCAAGGTTGGGTTCAGAGGACAGAAGCACTCAGACCGGAAAGGAATTTATCTTGTGAGGGGGAGAACAGCACCTACTTGACACCTCACCTCCGTCCCCGGTTTTTCTCTTTCGTTTTGCCCGTTTGCTTGTTTGTTGAGGGAACCCCGAATGCCTCTCTTTATTTTATCTCTGGGAAGGGGTCGCCTACGTTCCGCACACCCGGCTGCAGGCCCGCGCCCCCCGCCCCGGTGGTCTTCATGCCGGACAGACACACCTGCCCGGGCTGGGGGGCAGCAGGGGGCCCGGCCGAGACACGTCCTCTCGGGGCACCTCTGGCCACCTGCGGCTGTGCAGGCGAGGGCTGCTTCATCGGCGCTGACGCCACTCGGCCACCAGCTCCAGGACAGGCAACGCGCCTCAGGGGAGAGCTGATGCGAGAACCCTCGCCCTCAGCCCGAACGGAGGGCCCTGCGCACCGGGGAGAGCGTAGTCCCGGGCCACCCCTCCGCCTCCCCGTCGCCAGCGGGACCCCCGGCGCCCCGACGGCGCGGCAGCCCTTCTCGTGTTGCACCTCAGGGGCTCCGGCTCAGACTTGTCCTTCTTTCAGAAACTCCTGGGCCCTCCTCACAGCGGTCAGAGGCTCCCGGCTCCAGCACGGGCGAGGCGTGTGGCCAGGAGGATCTATGTTGCCCTGTCCCGTGAGAGAGGCGGAGGGATCTCCCAGCCCCGGCCGCCCGGAGTCAGGCGGGGGGACCCGCCAGCCCCTTTCACCGCTTAGGTGCCGGTCATACAGTGGGTTGAAAAAAGTTCAGCCAGGGGGCCAGGCTTGTGTCATGTTTTCTTTACTCGGCCTGTGAGTTACCAAGTCCGTTTTTTCTTCTGTTTCCCCCGCTGGAGTGATGGCTAACTCGGGTGAACTCACTGCTGACCTTTGCCTTGTTTCATCCACTGGGTCCGTTCCTCCTCTGGGTGCCGGCTCAGCTAAAGGCCTGTAGGAGCCAGTCCACCAGTCAGGCACCCAGAGGGTGATGAAGGCGATGCCCGCGGCATGCAGGTCCCCAGGGGGTCATTCTCCCCCCAACCCCATTCAAAAACGGGCATTTCTGCATTACTCCTTGCTCTCAGGAGCCCAAGGCTCTGGGGACCTATGACGAATGGGTCACTGTCAGGACGTCCTCGCCTGGTCCTGGAGGAAAAGGCCGTGTGTGCAGCGGGCTGGCCGTCGGCAGAGCTGGGATGGGCAAGGTCAGCCCCGGGACCTGAGTTTTCCAAGAAAATGCTCCTGAGAATTGCAGATTTGTACATTTGTCTGCCTGTGCTCCTTGGGCCCAGCAATGTTGATCTAGTAAAAGTAAGCAGTCTTGAAGCCACCTCAGTAAATGACTTAACTCAAGGCTGTGACCCTCTGACGCTGTGTGGATCTGTTCCCTGGAGAATGCCAGGTGCCCAGCGTGCTTGCGGGGCCCACGGCTCGGGGCTGGGGTTCTAGGGCTGCCGGAGCAGCACAGGGCGGGGCGGGACAGGGGCCTGGGGCCTACAGGGCCTGCCTTCTGTTTGCCCGCCTCTGTGCTGCCCCACTGGACGGGCCCGGCCGCCCTGCAGACAGACCAGAACCCTCGTCCCAGCAAAAAGACCGATGGCATTAGGAAAAGGACAGCCACCTAGCTCAGAGCAACCAGTGTGAGAGCTGCAGAGCTTTGCTTCGTTTTTAAGTAATAAATACCCTCTGCAGAAAGCCCCGTTCACCTTCAAGAGCTGAATAGAATTTAAATTCCACGAGAAGCCATCTAAGCCAATTCAAACCCCCGCTGTGGTTTTGGAAGCAATGTTTGCTCTCGTGTGGCTCAGAAATTCTGAGGACTGGAGAATGGACACTCAGACCTGCCCGGGGCCGGCCGGCAGCTGCTCCAGGTGAGGACCTCCCCGAGCTCCCAAGGGCCTGTTAACAGCTGATCACGCCGGGTAAGCACCCTTTGAAGCGAGAGAACCCACATCTGGGAGTTGAAATGTGAAGCCATCAGGTGGCTCCAGGAGGAAGTGGTGGACTCGCTGGTCTTCGACCTCTGTATTTAGGAACACTCTGACCTATGCGTAATTTGTACACAAGTCTTTTGGAAGGCATAAGGTTTTCCCTCTGTGCTACTCATCGTTGGCCTTTGTAAATAAAAGCTGTTTTGCAGGATCTCTGTCTTGATTGCCCTATAAACCCGTGACCTTTCATGACCTCTGGGTGTGCCATTGCTGTAGCTCATGCTGCACAAACCCCGTGCTTCTGGGCTCCTGGCTTTTGCTTTGCTCACAGCACAGCCCTGGGAGCGCAGAGCCGGCCGGAGGGAAGGGTCCCACAGCCAGCTCCCCGCCGTGCGGGAACTCGTGCATCTGTCTTCGAATTTCTCTTCCTTGTTCATCAGTGAGGACTTGAGCATCAAGAAGTGAAAATGAGGGAGTATTTCCCCCAATTCTAGTTTTTGTTTTAGGAGCAGGTAAGGAATAATTTACTGGGGACTCAGACAGATGTGAATGAGCCCAAAAAAGTTGACTTCTGGAAGAATAATGGTTTTCCAATATTTTGTTGGAAAATCGCAACACGAGGTGCACCTGTGGCTTTGTTTGCAGGCGGCTGTTTGCTGGGCCCTGGAGTTTGTCTGAAGCCCTTACAGGGGCTGGTCTGTTGGCTCCAGCACTGGCCCGAGCGGATCACCATGTGTCTTGTCACGGGCAAATGGGTCACTTGGAAGACTTGGCACTTTCAGAGGTGCTGGTTGGCCCTTGAAGAGGTTGTGACAGAGGAGAGCAGGGTTCATCAAACCCTTAGCCCGGCCACAAGCCTGCTGCCACCTACTCTCCCGTGAGGCTGGGGTCTGGCAGCAGAGAGGCAGCCTCAAGGCGGGAGGGGTGAGAGTCTCAGCTGGAGCTGGTGAGAGGAGAATGGAGGACTGTCCCCCCTCGGGCCTTCACCCAGCAGGAGGAGAGTCAGCAGGAAGGTGTAAACGTGTGGACACGTACTTGTGCACAAACACATGGGATCCCTCTTCCCTACTCGTGCCACTGGCCTTCCTTGCTCTTGGCAGCTCTCTTCACTTCAAAGGTGGAGCCCAGTTTGGTCTGCACGTGAGCCTCCTTAAAGGCTGGTAGCCGAGAGTGACCCCCAGGCCTCCGCCAAGATGATTCTAAACATGAGGTTCCTCAAAATCGCAGGCTAAGGGGGGAAAATGTCAGAATGCAAATCCCTGGTTTCTCTTAGCTGCTGTTGGGTTCAGAGCATGAATGTTGGGAGGAGGAACGGGTCCATGTTTCTTTGCTTGGACGCCAACCAATGGCCTTTGGCCAGCGCCTTCCGTTATCCTGGGAGCCCTGCCGGGCAGCGACAACCCAGAAGGTGGCCCCGTTAGGCAGTGCCTGCCTGGGGAATCTGGGGGCGTTTCCATGGTGCTGTGTCCTTTCTGAACAGGGAGGGGGGTGCCCCTGAGCTATTCGTTAATTAAGCCCAGAACAGCCTGGGATTCAAAGCAGAGGGCCCCATGTGTGCCAAAGCTCCCCGGGGCGGCCATTCGGACAGCCCCCCAGCCCTCCCCTCCGGCCCGGCTTTGAGGGAGTGAAAGCCGGGAAGCCCGGGGGTAGGTGGGCCATGGGCGCAGCTCATGGAAGCGGCGGAAAGCCGCTGTCCCTGCTAATAGGAGCCTCATCCACTGTCAGCCGGTCTCACAGGGCCCCCCCGCACCCCACCCCGCTCAGCTCTGTGACGGCCGCTCTCTCTGCAGCTGGGGACGCAGTGGCCCCTTCCCCACACCCTCCCCGTTGACATGGTTTTCTCCCGGCCTGTACCAGCCCTTCCCCTACAGTCTCTTAGACGTGGGCGCCCCCAAGGCTCTGACCCCAACCAGACCCCACCCAGACCCGAAATGTCGACGTGAACGTCTGCACACGTGTGCCTCAGGTGCCTCAAACTCGGCCTAGCCCAGCTCTGAGTTACCTTTGCCCCCTAACCTGCCCCTGGCCAGCAGTCCCACCCTAGGGGATCACAGCCTCTCAGTTGTCGGAGCCGGAACCTCGAGGGCAGGATGCTCAGTGAAATAAGCCAGACACAGAAGGACAGATACTGTGTGATTCCACTCCTAGGAGGTCCCTGGAGGAGCCAGGTCCATAGAGACAGAAAGTAGAGGGTGGGTGCCCGGGGCTGGGGGAGGGGAGGGGAGTGAGTGTGTAACGGGGGCAGAGCCTCGGTTTGGGAAGATGGAAATGTTCTGTAGCTGATGGTGGGGATGGTTGCACGACAATGCGAGTGTGCCTAATACCCCTGAACTGCACACCTTAAAACGGTTAAAATGAGAATTTTTTGTTATGTGTATTTTACCCCAATTAAAAGAAGTGTTTTAAACGACACAATTCTCCTCTCCCAAGCAGGCTCACCCGCGGGCCTCCTCACCCACCCCAACACCATGTGCACAGGCCGGACACCTGGGTGGGAAGTGTCATCCGTGACCCCCTCGCCACCACCTCCAATCCTTCAACAAAAAATCCTATTGACAGCCTCCTAAGTACGGCTCACGTCTGTCCACTCCTCTCCATGTCCATCCCTGCCCACAACAGACCAAACCACCACCTCAGCCTCCCCTGAATAGCCACGGCCCCATGACGAGTCGGCGCAGACTCACTCTGGCCAGGCCCCATCTGCTGTCCACTGCTGCCTGGGGTTAGGGGGCAGGAATGTGGTGGATGTGCCGGGGACGGTGCCTTGCCCATACGAGAGCCAGCAGCCCTTGCTCCCTGGAGATGCCCAGCCCAGATGTGGCTGGTGCATCACGAATCCCCCCAGGGCCTCCTGCGGCCCCTGGCATAATCGCTCGCGGCAGGGATTCACTCAGCAGAGCTCTGCTTCTCTGTGTAAAGCCAAGGTTATTTGATTGTTGTCTGACTCCCCTATCAGACTCTCTAAGATAAACTCCACACTGAGTTTGTGGTGCTTATTGCTGTTCTCAAGGCCTAACACAGTGTGTGGTACACAGTAGGTGCTCAATAACTGTGCAGAATGGATAAATGAGGGGCCCAGCAGCTCTTGGGTGAGGTGCTTACCTCCCTCCATCGGTGCTCTTCCGTTGCATCCTCTGTCCCCCATGGGACCAAGAGATTCGTGAAGACAGTGATCATGGGATCCACCGGTATACTCGCACAGCAAACACAGTACCCAGCACACAAAAAAGTGCTTAATGCATGTTGAGTGAAGGATTCTACCGGCCTCCCAAGATAGGATCTCAGAGGGAGCCTTGACTCTCCCTTCTCATTCCCCTGCCCCCCCATCAAATTAGCAGCCAAGCTCTGTGCATTCTGTCTCAGTGGATTCTTCAGAATCCGAGCCATCCTTCCATTTGTTAGACTTAGGTCGGGCTGGAGTATAACACCCCAAATAACAGTAACCCAAACAAGTTAAAGTTTCCAAAGCCCCAAGGAAAGCAGTACTGGTAAAATATGGCAGCTGCATGATTTTCAAAGACCTGTGCTCTTGTTGTTGCTCCCCTCTCCTGAACACAAGGCCTCACGGTCCAAAGTGGCTGCTTGAGCTCCAGCCACAACATATGCATTCCAGCAAGCAGGAAGGAAGGAAGAAAGGGGGCATCCCCTCACTTGAGGACATCACTCATATCCTATTGGTCAGAACATAGTTGCACATCCAGCTACAAGGGAGCCTGGAAATGTTGTCTTTTATTCTAGATGGCAATATGCTCAATAAAAGTGAGAGGGCCTGTTACTAGGGAAGAAGAGAAGGATAGCTCCAGTGGGATGGCCAGCATTCTCCTCCCTGTTCCTCGTCTCCCTCAGCGTCAGGCCCTTGGGTCCTCCTCCCCACCTCTGTAAACACACACCTTCTCCCCTTGCTCAACAGATTCACTTAGATTCCACGGGGCACCCTGCATTCCCTCCATTACCCAGCTCGGCCCGCATCCCCCGGCCTTTGAAGAAACACGAGGCCCTTCCCCACCTCCAGCTGGCCCCTTGCACGAGCTGTTTCCCAGCCAGGAATGTCCTTTCCACCGAGCCAGCCCACACGGCCCCGCTGCTGAGAAGCTCTTTGCAGTCAGCCCCTCCTTTCTCTGTGTTCTCACAACGCGAGTTCATTCCGTGTGCTTTGAGATTTCCTGCACGTCTGCCGCCCGCCAGGCACCGAGGGAGGAAGGCACTGTGTGCACAGCATCAAGGGGTATTTCATCTGCTTGCGGGTCTGTCTCTCAGCTACGCTGAGCTCTGTGGGCCTGGAGGAAATTCCTTCCCTGCCCAATACCCACCTGCCCAGGTGCTGGGCCCCAAGTGGGCAGAAGTCTGGCCGAGCACCCCTCACCAGGGTGGCGAGGGCCCACGCGGGAGAGGCCCAGGGGCATGGTGTGCGGGGGGCAGCGGCCACAGGGTCAGGAACAGGCTGTTCCCCCCACTCGCCCAGAAGAAGGAACGAGGGGCTGAGGCTGAGCCCGTGGGGAGGCGGCTCTTCCTGCGAGGGAACCAGCAGCCGCCACCTCCCCCCCAGAGCCGGAAACGGCACCGGGGCAGCTGGGGCCCGGGGGCCACGGAGCTCAGGAGGGAAGCGGGGGGGGGGGGGGGGGGGGGGGGGGGGGGGGGGGTGCGTTGCACATTCTGTTGAGAGTTTGGCCTTCACCCCAGGAGCCGTGGGAACAGGGAAGGGCTGCTGGCAGGGGAATGACGGAGTCGGATTTGCATTTCAGAAGGTGGAAGGATGGCTGGCAGCCGGGAGGGCAGCACAACGGCCCAAGGGCTGGTGAGGAACCCTGTGAATGCCGCCTGTGCCCCCCCACCCAGGGCCCAGCGGAGCCCAGTGAAGCCAGCCCTCCCCTCCACCCACCCAAAGAGGAGAGCACTCAGGCCAGCCCCGGCCCCCGGAGCGGGAGCAGGCTCGGATGGGGAGCACGTTTCCAGCCATCCCTCCTCTGGGGTCCTCAGTGGGGAGGAAGGTGGAGGCGTCCACATAGCAGAGTGCGCCCCCAGAGCTGGGCCTCAGCCTTGGGCAGACGAGGGGGCGAGCCTGCTGGGACCTCCTGCTGCCCCCAAGCCCCACGCCCACGCTGCAGACCCAGCTGGGACGTCTGCGGAGGAAAGGGACCCTGGGCCCACAGGCAGAAGAATCCGGGCTGAGGGTCCAAACCATCCTGGCCGGTGACCTGGGGTGAGCCTGTT